CGTAACGTCGCAAGTCGTGAGCAAAATTGACCAATCATAATCGATTATTTCAAAAATAATCAACCATGATTGGTCAATTTGCCAACGAACTTACGAAATGAGAAATTGATCTAGTAAAGCGGTTAATTAAGGCTGCAATCATTGACGCTAGAAACCCAGCGGGCAAATTAAAATCATTAGATTTCTCCTAGATTTTGGCATCAATAAAATAAGTTCAAAAACCAGTTTCAACTTTTCAATGAGTTAAGCGGCCTTTTCATTGACGCTACTTTTTTAGCGTCAATGAAATTGCACCTTAAGTTCATATTTTTATGTTTTAGAGGACGCATCGTCCTTTCAGGGATAACCTTAAAGCCGGATACTTGTTAATCTAATGACTTTAAGACCGGTATTCATAGTCCGATCTTATATTTGAGAGATCGTCTTATATCGAGCTTGAAATGCTACGCAGCTATTTGATTGGTTGAAGGAGGTCTTAAGTCAACCTCGGACCAGACTTAAGACGATCTTAAAATATAAGATCGACTATGAATCCGGCCTAAGGCCCAGTTCCACAATCCAGTTAATCCGAGTTTAAGTAAGTGAATGGACCAATCAGGTCCCAGTTTAACGTATTAAACTCGGATTAACTCGAATTGTGGAAACCGGGGGCTAAGATCGCCCTAAAAGAAAACTTATGGCCGGTATTCATAGTCCGATCTTATATTTAAGATCGTCTTAAGTCTGCTTGGAGTTGACTTAAGACCTCATTCAAAACCAATCAAATACGCGTAGCATTTCAAGCTCGAAACTTTAAGACGATCTCAATATAAGATCGGACTATGAATACCGGCCTATGACAAAAAAGAGTGAAAACTATGAAACAACTTGTTGTTTGTTTTATAGATTTTAAAAATGGCTTGTCGTATGCTACATATTTTAGAGTTGTAAATAATTTTGAAAAAAATGTTCAATCTATAAACAATGGTAACGCAAATGAAATATATCATTGTCTCTAAATCATTATATGTAATTAACATATAATGTGTATTTAAAATTAATTTATCAATTTAACTCCAATAAATTATGAAATTTTTTTCAGGTATATTATTGTGTTAATATTATTTAATTTATTGCTTGTCAGTCATTCACATTTATTAAACAAATAAGTCACTTTATTAAATAATGTGAGAAACTCTATATTTTTTGCGAAATAGTTAAGTAGAACTTTTATGGTATATGCATTTTGATAATAGTTTATATTTACAGTAGAAAACAATTTTGTATTTCACTGTGCTTTTGTTCTATAGGACCTGAAGTAATTATGAAAGGGTGTGACAAGTATCAGTAATGCAGGAAGACGCAGAGATACAGCAAGAAGAAATAGTGAAAGAAAAGCTCCTAAATAAGGAGCAAATTATTGTCATGGGAAAAAATTCTCAATTACCAATTTCCTGGTCTAAACACTCCTGTGTTTAGAGGAAAAGAATTAATTCAACAGCTAAACTGCTTGTAAAATCTTGGAAAGAAAGCAAAAAACTTATGGAATTACCACAAAGTCAGACCAGACCAATGCAAATAAAATTATCGCCATTGGAATGTGGTTGGAGGAGTGTTACAATGGATGCAGAAGCATTGAATCAGATCTTATTGGAAAAAGGTTAATATTTATGCTATTATTGGATTATAATGGTTAAATCACACACATACAAAAATCATGTGATATGATGTCTATTTTCAATTTTTTTTTTATGTTTCAAGTTCTAAATATTAGAATCTTATATAATTAATATCTTTGTTTTCTGTAGATACATTTGAAAGTTTTGAAACCTGGATTTTGGAAAACAAAATGATAACTTGGTATGCCGTAATTTAGCACGTAAGACTAGAATCAATTCATTTATAGTAACTGGAATGGAAATATTGGCTGGATTGTGCATTATTAAAAGCCAAAGCATCCCTAAACGGATTAAAAATAGGGCTGGTCAAAGATTAATGTATATTCCTACATATAAGGAATACACTGGTAAGAAAATATTGTCAATACTATATAATATAAAATTTATTTCTCTCTTTTAATATCACTTTGTATTTTTCAGTGTTACATGATTTCTTTACACAGTTTGAGAATATAAAAATATTTGTAAAGAAAATTCATGAAGGATAATGGGCTTGTTTGTCATCATGCGATAAAAGCGTGTTGCGAGATAATTGGCATAAAGGATATGTATGCCAAAGTACAAGGAGGAATGTAAAAGCATTCTTTATTGGTTTATTGCAACAGTATGTATATAAAGTATTTAAAGGCATACACTTTTTATTTAATTTATATTAGAAAGAAACATTTTTATTTATAAAATATATATACATATATATATATATATATATATATATATATATATGTTAGACACAAAAGCTAAAAAAAAAACGTGGATTGTGTCGATTAATTAATTAATTGTTTTATTTAATTATCAATTTATATACTATATTATTAACAATAATTTTTTGTTTACTTAAACTGTATAAGGTTGTGCATAAGAAACAATCTTTTTTATTTAGTATTTCAAGCATATTTTCATAGAACTTTAATTTAATTATTATATTATTAAAAATATTGAACAAAATAAAGAATTAAAGCTGGCTTTCTCTGCAGTCTCATGGCAGATTATATCAGAAATCATACTTTAATTATTGCAATATATCATGAAACAAATCAATCTCAAAATAATGGAAATATTTGCAGAAATATCAAATATGTAATGTAAATATTTTAATTTTTTTGTATGCGATCTATTTTTTATTCTATCGATGTTTTCATAGTGATGCACCTTGAGCACTTTGCTTCATATGTTTGCAATAAAAATATATTAAAGCAAATTATTTTGCAAATTTATTATTCTAATTTTTATTTAGAAAGACTAAGATTAAAAAAGACGTATGCATTTTTTTCAGATATTCTATTGAAAAAAACGCATCAGATAAAACTTTCCTGTACATTTTAAATGTGCCAAAAGATTTGCTCTTTATTCCACTTACTGCAATAATGTACACTAAAAATGACAGATCTATATTAAAAATGATAGATCTATGTTTAGTAGTTGGAAAGAAAGAGAGGAGAAATGAAAAGTGCATCTAGAGAATTTAAAAGAATAAAAATCTAAAAATAATAATACATAAAATTAATATTATGTATTTTTTTCATGAGGAATGTGGGGCGCACATTTATGCATTTATTTATTTAGATGAGATTTACTTTAGAGCACATTCAGTATTCAACTTTAATTTTATTTTCTCTTTCTTACGATTATATAAGTATAACATAATTACTTGCAAATGCTATCATTTTTGTGTGCTTACAGTGATACAGAAGCAACATTACAAGTACTATATTTACAGATAACATCTGTATAATAAAAAAAGTACCAAAGTCTAATGGTGAAAAAAGGGTAAATATTTTAGACCAGTATAAGTATCAACCAATTATTCCATTGCTCTGTTTCATTAGAGTTGCAATTTTCTTTTAATATCATAAATATATAAATAAGAAAAAGATTTCTATACGTTTCAAATAAATTTATATATTTATGTATGTAATACTGCGCACACATATTAAAAGGTGATAATATCGCAGTTATAATAAGATACAATCCTGACAATGCAGTGATTTTTGGATCCTTCTTAAAATAATTTAATTTGATTTATTTTTGAGAAATGCGCACAATACTTGAGAACAAATTATTTTTGTGCCACGTATTACTTGTGTAAAATTCCACACACAGTATCATATTGTCTGCGATATATGAAAAGCTTCATCGATGAAATATCATTGAGAATATGATGATAAGAAAAGTAATATAGTACTTGTAATGAATAACCTTAATGTGGAATACATAAATATTTTATATTTTAATTTCGTATAATCAAGATGAGATAAGACACTCATGATTATTTTAAAAATGTGTCCACAAATATCATGTAACTTCAATAGCTGCACATTCGTCAAATTAATCCTATTACGTTAAATCACAGCAGCTTGTTTTAATTTAATCTAACCTAACCAATTATATTATATGCTTCTCATTAAAATGTGTAAAACTGTACGTCGCACATTTAATACGATTAATATACTACGTAATAAAATGTAATACACTAATGAAATAATTAAATATTATTTTTGAAAGCATGATAAAATCCAGGCAGCATATGCTTGTGTTTACATTCGACATCCAAAGACATTGAGAGGTTAGGTTAGGTTAGATCGAAAAAATTTATCGTTTAACAGTTGGCAGCCCTACGAGATAGACTGTGCAGCACTGCGCGTATATAAAATAAATTTGAAATCGCTTCTAGCTAACCATCTTCACGCGATCGACTTTATTTGAATTGCACGGCATTCGCATCGAATTATGATGCGGTGCCGATTTGTTCGAACGTAATTCGGGACATCGCAATGCTGTATAAGCGTCGAATGAGCACGAATTGTCACGCAAATGTGATAAATCAAATCTACTCACCGTTTACCGGCTATTCCACAGGCCGCTCCACTCGCTCGCCTCGGGACATCCAATTCCGATCTTTATGCGCACAAACTCACACGATATCATCAACGCGAACGCGCGACACTTTATTCGGCACTCCCGATACTCGCTCGCATCCGATAATCATCATCAAGAGCGCGAATAACGCGACGCAACTTCGCTCCATCTTCGCGATGACGCCATCACTGAATATCGTCAAAAATCGCTGTCGCGCGTTTCCATCGACACACTATAAAAGTCGCGCGATCATCCTTCGACACTCTCGACGCTCGTTCACTCGCGATATTCGTTTAAAAACGGTTAAAAGATGCGAAAAATGCGGACGTACGACGATCCGTGTAACTGCGTATGATTCCGATTCACGCGCCAACATGGCGGCCGTATGACGCGTTTGACGTAGCAGTGACGTCGCAGTGACGTCGCAGTCACGCGCCAACATGGCGGCCGAACCAGTGCGCACTGGTTCGGCCGCCATGTTGGCGCGTGCCTGCGACGTCACTGCAACGTCACTGCTACGTCAAACGCGTCATACGGCCGCCATGTTGGCGCGTGACTCGGAGTCATACGCAGTTACACGGATCGTCGAACGTCCGCATTTTTCGCGTCTTTTAACCGTTTTTAAACGAATATCGCGAGTGAAAGAGCGTCCAAAGTGTCCAAGGATGATCGCGCGACTTTCATAATATGTCAGTGAAAGTGCGCGACAGCCGTTTTCGACAATTCAGTGATAGCGCGATCGCGAAGATGGAGCGAAGTCGCGTCGCATTATTTGCGCCCTTGATGGTGATTACCGGATGCGAGCGAATATCGGAAGTGCCGAATAAAGTGTCGCGCGTTCGCGTTGATGATATCGTGTGCATCAAGATCGGAATGGGACGTCTCGAGGCGAGCGAGTGGAGCGGCCTGTAAAACAGCCGGTGAACGGTGAGTAGATTTGATTTATCATATTTGCGTGATAATTCGTGCTCATTCGACGCTTATACGGCATCGCGATGTTCCGAATTACGTTCGAACAAATCGGCGCAGCATCATAATTCGATGCGATGCCGTGCAATTCAAATAAAGTCGATCGCGTGAAGACGGTTATGCTAGAAGCGATTTCAAATTTATTTTGTATACGCGCGCGCAGTGCTGCACAGCCTATCTCGTAGGGCTGCCAACAGTTAAACGATAAATTTGTTTGATCTAACCTAACTAACCTAACCTAACCTAACCTAATCTCTCAGTGTCTGCATATCGAATGTAAATACAAGCGTATGCTGCCTGAATTGTATGATGATGTATGCTTTCAAAAATAATATTTAATTATTTCATTAACGTATTACATTTTATTACGTAGTATATTAATCGTTTTAAATGTGCGACGTACAGTTTTACACATTTTAATGAGGAGCATATAATATAATTGGTTAGGTTAGATTAAATTAAAAAAAGCTGCTGTGATTCATTTAACGTAATAAGATTAATTTGACGAACGTGCAGCTGTTGAAGTTACATGATATTTGTGGACACATTTTTAAGTAATCATGTCTTATTCATCTCGATTACATAAATTAAAATATAAAATAACAATTACTATATTAACAACTATATCTCAATCATATTCAACCATATTTCATCGATGAAGCTTTTCATATATCGCAGACAATATGATACTGTTTGTGGAATTTTACACAGGTAATACATGGCACAAAAATAATTTGTTCTAAAGTATTGTGCGCATTTCTCAAAAATAAATCAAATTAAATTATTTTCAGAATCCAAAAATCGCTACATTGCCAGGATTGTATCTTACTATAACTGCGATATTATCACCTTTTAATATGTGTGCGCAGTATTACATACATAAAATATATAAATTTATTTGAAACGTATGGAAATCTCTATCTTATTTATAATATTTATGATATTATAAAAGAAAATTGCAACTCTAATGAAACAGAGCGGTGAAAGAATTGGTTGATACTTATGCTGGTCTAAATATTTACCCTTTTTTCACCATTAGACTGGTGCTTTTTTTATTATACAGATGTTATCTGTAAATATAGTACTCGTAATGTTGTTTCTGTATCACTGTAAGCACACAAAAATGATAGCATTTGCAAGTAATTATGTTATACTTATATATCATAAGAAAGAGAAAATAAAATTAAAGTTGAATACTGAATGTGCTCTAAAGTAAACCTCATCTAAATAAATAAATGCATAAATGTGCGCCCCACATTCCTCATGAAAAAAATACATAATATTAATCTTTATGTATTATTATTTTTAAATTTTTATTCTTTTAAATTCTCTAGATGCACTTTTCATTTCTCCTCTCTTTCCAACTACTAAACATAGATCTATCATTTTTAATATAGAGCTGTCATTTTTAGTGTACATTATTGCAGTAAATGGAATAAAGAGCAAATCTTTTGGCACATTTAAAATGTACAGGAAAGTCAGTTTTATCTGATGCGTTTTTTTCAACAGAAATATCTGAAAAAATTCATACGTATTTTTTAATCTTAGTCTTTCTATATAAAAATTAGAATAATAAATGTGCAAAATAATTTGCTTTAATATATTTTTAGTGCAAACATATGAAGCAAAGTGCTCAAGGTGCATTACTATGAAAACATCGATAGAATAAAAAATAGATCGTATACAAAAAAATTAAAATATTTACACTACATATTTGATATAGCATTTAATCGATATGTGCAGTAATACGGTAAAATCTAATTTTCTCTCGAATTTTTTCACGAAATTTAAACTACTAAAAAAATATCAAATATTCAAATTGTTCAATAGTCTTGTGAAAGAAGCAGTTCTCGCTTAAAGAATCTTTAGAAAAAAAAAAAAAAAAATTCTAAAGAAAAAAAAGGACAAGAAATTTTAAATCTCACATGGATATTAATTTTATACTAATATTTTTAATGTAACACTTCATTTATAAAGATTTTATTTTGTGAAACGTTTATACATAAAAGTACAATGATTATACGGCTTCTTTAATCTATTGTTTCATCTTCGCATGATTTTCGTTTAAATAATAAAATATTTGTGCCTCTGGATATTTTTCTCTGGAAGCTTTATGCAATGTGTGTAACTTAAATCTGTTAACGTACAAGTATTAGAACGTAACAGAATAAGTATATGTAATTTGATTAAAAACACGTGTTTTATATGAATTTTAATTACATATTTTGTTATGTTACAAATAAAAAAATCATGCTTGCGCGACGCGATTCTAACAATTTACCGACATGCACAAAATGATGACTTTACCGGCAGTCGAAGTATCTGGACTACGTAATTCTGGCGTATAACGCGAATGCAGATGGCGATACTAAACAGCAAAGAAAGATGGCTGCATGAGTGAAACGCGAGGCGCGAAATATTACATTTCGTATATCGTTCTTTGCGAAAAAAATGTGTGAAAGTATTGTACGTATTCGCGATTAACAGTTCGGTATTGATGAATACCAATCAACGCAAGTATAATTTGTCGTATCTCATTGGATATCTCTTCAAACTCTGTATATGAATCGCTCTCAGTTTTTAAAATGCAAAACTAAATATTATAAGATTTGACTTTGGAAAAGCGCGATAAAACAATCGAATCATTCGTAATTCATATCATTAGCATAATATACTATGAATTTTCTACGTTATATATTGAATCGAAATTGCGCGAAAGAGGAAAAAAAGAACAAGCCTATGAATAGACATTTCCATCCTTTACTAAAAGAAAAAGAAATTAAAAATATATCTCAATTTTTTTCTATTTCTTCAGGCAAGTCTACATATATGACCAATATGATTAATTGATTCCATCTTTATATATTTATCATTATGTGCTATTAATTAAAGCCGTAGACAATATTCAGAAATCAAAGTTGCGCGCAGGAATGGCCATTCGCAGAAACGAATGCGCACTGGTTCGGCCGCCATGTTGGCGCGTGACTGCGACGTCACTGCGACGTCACTGCTACGTCAAACGCGTCATACGGCCGCCATGTTGGCGCGTGAATCGGAGTCATACGCAGTTACACGGATCGTCGTACGTCCGCATTTTTCGCGTCTTTTAACCGTTTTTAAACGAATATCGCGAGTGAACGAGCGTCGAGAGTGTCGAAGGATGATCGCGCGACTTTTATAGTGTGTCGATGGAAACGCGCGACAGCGATTTTTGACGATATTCAGTGATGGCGTCATTGCGAAATGGAGCGAAGTTGCGTCGCGTTATTCGCGCCCTTGATGATGATTATCGGATGCGAGCGAATATCGGGAGTGCCGAATAAAGTGTCGCGCGTTCGCGTGATGATATCGTATGGATTTGTGTGCATCAAGATCGGAATAGGACGTCGAGGCGTGCGAACTGTCCCAGGAGGAGCGGCCTGTGGAACAGCCGGTGAGTAGATTTGATTTATCATATTTGCGTGATAATTTGTGCTCATTCGACGCTTATACAGCATCGCGATGTCCCGAATTACATTCGGACAAATCGGCGCCGCATCATAATTCGATTCGGTGCAATTCAAATAAAGTCGATCGCGTGAAGATGGTTAGCTAGAAGCGATTTCAAATTTATTTTATATACGCGCAGTGCTGCACAGCTATCTCGTAGGGCTGCCAACTGTTAAACGATAAATTTTTTCGATCTAACCTAACCTAACCTAACCTCTCAGTGCTTTCGATGTCGAATGTAAACATAAGCGTATGCTCCCTGGATTTTATCATGCTTTCAAAAATAATATTTAATTATTTCATTAGTGTATTACATTTTATTACGTAGTATATTAATCGTATTAAATGTGCGACGTACAGTTTTACACATTTTAATGAGAAGCATATAATATAATTGGTTAGGTTAGATTAAATTAAAGCTGCTGTGATTCATTTAACGTAATAGGATTAATTTGACGAATGTGCAGCTGTTGAAGTTACATGATATTTGTGGACACATTTTTAAAGTAATCATGAGTGTCTTATCTCATCTTGATTATGAAATTAAAATATAAAATATTTATGTATTCCACATTAAGTTATTCATTACAAGTACTATATTACTTTTCTTATCATCATATTCTCAATCATATTTCATCGATGAAGCTTTTCATATATCGCAGACAATATGATACTGTGTGTGGAATTTTACACAGTAATACATGGCACAAAAATAATTTGTTCTCAAGTATTGTGCGCATTTCTCAAAAATAAATCAAATTAAATTATTTTAAGAGGATCCAAAAATCACTATTGCCAGGATTGTATCTTATTATAACTGCGATATTATCACCTTTTAATATGTGTGCGCAGTATTACATACATAAAATATATAAATTTATTTGAAACGTATAGAAATCTTTCTTATTTATATAATGATATATAAAAGAAAATTGCAACTCTAATGAAACAGAGCGGTGGAATAATTGGTTGATACTTATGCTGGTCTACAATATTTATTTTTTCACCATTAGACTTTTGGTGCTTTTTTTATTATACAGATGTTATCTGTAAATATAGTACTTGTAATGTTGCTTCTGTATCACTGTAAGCACACAAAAATGATAGCATTTGCAGGTAATTATGTTATACTTATATATCGTAAGAAAGAGAAAATAAAATTAAAGTTGAATACTGAATGTGCTCTAAAGTAAATCTCATCTAAATAAATAAATGCATAAATGTGCGCCCACATTCCTCATGAAAAAAATACATAATATTAATCTTTATGTATTATTATTTTTAGATTTTTATTCTTTTAAATTCTCTAGATGCACTTTTCATTTCTCCTCTCTTTCTTTCCAACTACTAAATATAGATCTATCATTTTTAATATAGATCTGTCATTTTTAGTGTACATTATTGCAGTAAGTGGAATAAAGAGCAAATCTTTTGGCACATTTAAAATGTACAGGAAAGTTTTTCTGATGCGTTTTTTTCAATAGAATATCTGAAAAAAATGCATACGTCTTTTTTAATCTTAGTCTTTCTAAATAAAAATTAGAATAAATAAAAATTGCAAAATAATTTGCTAATTAATATATTTTTATTGCAAACATATGAAGCAAAGTGCTCAAGGTGCATCACTATGAAAACATCGATAGAATAAAAAATAGATCGCATACAAAAAATTAAAATATTTACATTACATATTTGATATTTCTGCAAATATTTCCATTATTTTGAGATTGATTTGTTTCATGATATATTGCAATAATTAAAGTATGATTTCTGATATAATCTGCCATGAGACTGCAGAGAAAGCCAGCTTTAATTCTTTATTTTGTTCAATATTTTTAATAATATAATAATTAAATTAAAGTTCTATGAAAATATGCTTGAAATACTAAATAAAAAAGATTGTTTTTATGTACAACCTTATACAGTTTAAGTAAACAAAAATTATTGTTAATAATATACATATATAAATTGATAATTAAATAAAACAATTAATTAATTAATCGACACAATCCACGTTTTTTTTTTTTGTCTAACATATATATATATATATATATATATATATATATATTATATGTATATATTTTATAAATAAAAATATAAATTAAATAAAAAGTATAATATGCCTTTAAATACTTTATATACATACCTGTTGCAATAAACCAATAAAGAATGCTTTTACATTCCTCCTTGTACTTTGGCATACATATCCTTTATGCCAATTATCTCGCAACACGCTTTTATCGCATGATGACAAAAGCCCATTATCCTTCATGAATTTTCTTTACAAATATTTTTATATTCTCAAACTGTGTAAAGAAATCATGTAACACTGAAAAATACAAAGTGATATTAAAAGAGAAGAAATAAATTTTATATTATATAGTATTGACAATTATTTTCTTACCAGTGTATCCTTATATGTAGGAATATACATTAATCTTTGACCAGCCCTATTTTTTAATCGTCTTTAGGGATGCTTTGGCTTTTGATAACGCAAATCCAGCCAATCCATTTCCATTTCCAGTTACTATAAATGAATTGATTCTAGTCTTACGTGCTAAATTACCGGTCATACAAGTTATCATTTTGTTTTCCAAAATCCAGGTTTCAAAACTTTCAAATGTATCTGCAGAAAACAAAGATATTAATTATATAAGATTCTAATATTTAGAACTGAAACATCAAAAAAAAATTGAAAATAGACATCGTATCACATGATTTTTGTATGTGTGTGATTTAACCATTATAATCCAATAATAGCATAAATATTAACCTTTTCCAATAAGATCTGATTCAATGCTTCTGCCATCCATTGTAACACTCCTCCAACCACATTCCAATGGCGATAATTTTATTTGCATTGGTCTGGTCTGACTTTGTGGTAATTCCATAAGTTTTTGCTTTCTTTCAAGATTTACAAGCAGTTTTGCTGTTGAATTAATTCTTTTCCTCTAAACACAGGAAGTGTTTAGACCAGGAAATTGTATCGGAATTTTTCCCATGCCAATAATTTGCTCCTTATTTAGGTCTCTCTTTTCACTACTCTTCTTGCTCTACTCTGCGTCTTCCTGCATTACTGATACTTGTCACACCCTTTCATAATTCATCTTCAGGTCCTATAGAACAAAAGCACAGTGAAATACAAATATTTTCTACTGTAAATATAATATTATCAAAATGCTATATCCATAAAAGTTCTACTTACTATTCGCAAAAAATAGAGTTTCTCACATTATTTAATAAAGTGACTATTTTTAATAAATGTGAATGACTGACAAGCAATAAATTAAACAATATTAAACAATAATATACCTGAAAAAAATTTCATAATTTTATTAGAATTAAATTGATAAATTAATTTTAAATACACATATATGTTAATTACATATAATGATTTAGAGACAATGATATATTTCATTTGCGTTACCATTGTTTACAGATTGAACATTTTTATCAAATTATTTACAACTCTAAAATATGTAGCATACGACAAGCCATTTTTAAAATCTATAAAACAAACAAAAAGTTGTTCATAGTTTTCATAGTCTTCTTTTTGTCATAGTCTGCTTTTAGCGGTCTTAAAGTCACTAGATTAACAAAGTATCCGGCTTTAGGTTATCCCTGAAAGGATGATGCGTTCTTAAATAAAATATGAACTTAAGGTGCAATTTCATTGACGCTAAAAAGTAGCGTCAACCATTGGTTGAACAAAGAAGCAACTTACTTAATTCTTTGTTCAACCAATGGTTGACGCTAATTTTTAGCGTCAA